TAGGCCAATCTCCTTAATGAACATTGATGCAAAAATCCTCAACAAAATAATGGCAAACGAATTCAACAACACATCAAAAAGATTATTCACCACGACCAAGTAGGCTTCATCCCAGGGATGCAGGGGTGGTTCAACATACAAAATCAATAAACGTAATAAACCACATTAACAGAAGCAAAGACAAAAACCACTTGATCATCTCAATAGATGCAGAAAAAGCCTTTGATAAGATCCAACATCATTTCATGATAAAAGCTCTAAGAAAACTAGGAATAGAAGGAAAGTACCTCAACATTATAAAAGCTATATATGACAAACCTACAGCCAGCATTATACTTAACGGAGAAAAACTGAAACCATTCCCTCTAAAATCAGGAACCAGACAAGGATGCCCACTATCTCCACTCCTATTCAACATAGTACTGGAATTCCTAGCCAGAGCAATTAGGCAAGAAGAAGGAATAAAAGGAATACAAATAGGTAAAGAAACTGTCAAAATATCCCTATTTGCAGATGACATGATCCTATACCTTAAAGACCCAAAAAACTCTACTCAGAAGCTTCTAGACATCATCAATAGCTATAGCAAGGTAGCAGGATATAAAATCAACATAGAAAAATCATTAGCATTTCTATACACTAACAATGAGCAAACTGAAAAAGAATGTATGAAAACAATTCCATTTACAATAGCCTCAAAAAAAATCAAATACCTAGGTGTAAACCTAACAAAAGATGTGAAAGACCTCTACAAGGAAAACTATAACTTCTGAAGAAAGAGATTGAGGAAGACTATAGAAAGTGGAGAGATCTCCCATGCTCATGGATTGGTAGAATCAACATAGTAAAAATGTCTATACTCCCAAAAGTAATCTACATGTTTAATGCAATTCCCATCAAAATTCCAATGACATTCATTAAAGAGATTGAAAAATCTACCGTGAAATTTATATGGAAACACAAGAGGCCACGAATAGCCAAGGCAATACTCAGTCAAAAGAACAATGCTGGAGGTATCACAATACCTGACTTCAAACTATATTACAAAGCAATAACAAAAAAACAGCATGGTACTGGCACAAAAACAGACATGAAGACCAGTGGAACAGAATAGAGGACCCAGATATGAAGCCACACAACTATAACCAACTTGTCTTTGACAAAGGAGCTAAAAATATACGATGGAGAAATAGCAGCCTCTTCAACAAAAACTGCTGGGAAAACTGGTTAGCAGTCTGCAAAAAACTGAAACTAGATCCATGTATATCACCCTATACCAAGATTAACTCAAAATGGATCAAGGATCTTAATATCAGACCCAAACTCTAAAGTTGATACAGGAAAGAGTAGGAAATACTCTGGAGTTAGTAGGTATAGGTAAGAACTTTCTCAATGAAACCCCAGCAGCACAGCAACTAAGAGATAGCATAGATAAATGGGACCTCATAAAACTAAAAAGCTTCTGTTCATCAAAAGAAATGGTCTCTAAACTGAAGAGAACACCCACAGAGTGGGAGAAAATATTTGCCAGCTACACATCAGACAAAGGACTGATAACCAGAATATATAGGGAACTTAAAAAACTAAATTCTCCCAAAACTAATGAACCAATAAAGAAATGGGCAAGTGAACTAAACAGAACTTTCTCAAAAGAAGAAATTCAAATGGCCAAAAAACACATGAAAAAATGCTCACCATCTCTAGCAATAAAGGAAATGCAAATTAAAACCACACTAAGATTCCACCTCACCCCTGTTAGAATAGCCATCATCAGCAACACCACCAACAACAGGTGTTGGCGAGGATGCGGGGAAAAAGGAACCCTCTTACACTGTTGGTGGGAATGTAACTAGTACAACCACTCTGGAAAAAAATTTGGAGGCTACTTAAAAAGCTAGACATTGATCTACCATTTGATCCAGCAATACCACTCTTGGGGATATACCCAAAAGACTGTGACACAGGTTACTCCAGAGGCACCTGCACACCATGTTTATTGCGGCACTATTCACAATAGCCAAGTTATGGAAACAGCCAAGATGCCCCACCACTGACGAATGGATTAAGAAAATGTGGTATCTATACACAATGGAATTTTATGCAGCCATGAAGAAGAACGAAATGTTATCATTCGCTGGTAAATGGATGGAATTGGAGAACATCATTCTGAGTGAGGTTAGCCTGGCCCAAAAGACCAAAAATCGTATGTTCTCCCTCATATGTGGACATTAGATCAAGGGCAAACACAACAAGGGATTGGACTTTGAGCACATGATAAAAGCGAGAGCACACAAGGGAGGGGTGAGGATAGGTAAGACACCTAAAAAATTAGCTAGCATTTGTTGCCCTTAACGCAGAGAAAGTCAAGCAGATACCTTAAAGCAACTGAGGCCAATAGGAAAAGGGGACCAGGAACTAGAGAAAAGGTTAGATCAAAAAGAATTAACCTAGAAGGCAACACACACACACAGGAAATCAATGTGAGTCAACTCCCTGTATAGCTATCCTTATCTCAACCAGAAAACCCTTGTTCCTTCCTATTATTGCTTATACTCTCTCTTCAACAAAATTAGAGATAAGGGCAAAATAGTTTCTGCTGGTATTGAGGGGGGGGAGAGGAGGGGCGGAGTGGGTGGTAAGGGAGGGGGTGGTGGCAGGAGGGAGAAATGACCCAAGCCTTGTATGCACATATGAATAATAAAACAATAAAAAAAAGAAATATTTTTCAGTATTTTCCCAACTTTTCTGCATTTAACAGGTGTTACTTTGGTAATTAGAAGTAAAAACCAGTAACAGTTTCCTTTTTAAGGGATACTGTTAAGCATGATTGGCTAGCTGTGCATAAGTCATGGTGTATCTCTGCACTTGTAGAATCATCACAAGTTCAGGGGCTCATTTTCAACCTCCAAGTTTAGAAACACAATTTGAATACTGCACCAAAAAACTGATCATGACGACTGATTCCCTGCCCTTACCTCCCATTACTGCTGCCCATATTCTCACTTGTCTGGAGAATGGATTCCATCACTTCTTCAAAGAATTCAATTCTGAGGCTTCTTTTTTTTTTGAGACAAGGTCTCACTTTGTCACTCAGACTGGCCTCAAACTTGTGACTGACCTCTCTTATGGGTGCAGGCTACCTCTCCTGGCAACTTCTAAGACTTTTGAAGGAGAGTACTTAGAGACATCAAAAAATTTATACCAGCAACATAGGAAAGAACAGTATGGTACCCTCTAAGCATTGTGTTTTCATTACTGCCTGCCATTTGAACACTTTACACTCCTTGAGGCACACCTCCAGGAGTAGGTAGGATCTCGCTTTTTTGCTCAGGCCAGCATGCCTCTCCATCATCCAATTTCAAGCTTTCTGCTGTAGTTGGGATGACAGGTGCACACCACCATGCTCAGTTTATTTCCATTGAGATAGGGGGTCTCACAAACTTTTTTGTCCACACTTGCCTGGAACCCCATACTCTAGATCTAAGCCTCCCAAGTAGCAAGGATTACAGCTGTGAGCCACAGGGGCCACAGGCTTCAAATTCTTCTTTAATTTGTATTTTAAAAATATCCTGGGGCTGGAGGCCTGTTTCAAGTGGTAGAAGCCCTGAATTTAAACTGCAGTAGTACCAAAAAATATATAAATAAACCTAATAACCTGACAAATTATTTTGGTTGCAACTTTTATAGAGAGCATATTCCATTTGTGTCCAAGGGAGAGGTTTAGTCTAGGAATCAGATCAAGGATTTGACTGGAACAGTTTTCTAAATGGCTTTCCACTTCCACATTTGACTCCCTGCAATCAATTGTCCACACAGTAACCAGAATGACTTGGAGACTTTAATCATGTCCCTTTCCTGCTTAAAACCATCCCGTGGGCCCCACTGCCCCCTTCCTCACTTCGTGCTGTACACTGACTACAGGGCCTGGCTCATGATTGGAAGCGGATTACTACTGAGCTACACCTTGCTCCCCCCATTGCTCTTAAAATAAAATTCAGACTCTGTCATGACGGATAAGGCTCTGCTCCGCTAACTTGTTCACTGCCAGGCAAGCCACAGGGACCTTCTCTGTGTCCCGCAAACATCCCATGTGGTTTCCTTTTCCATAGTCTTTGTCTTCGCTCTTTCCTTTGCCCGAAATACTGTCTTCTCAGATCTTCCCACGCTTGGTTCCTTCTTGTCCTTCAGGGCTTATCTCCAACACCCCCCTCCCATCACCCTCATCCTGTTTTACTGTCTTCAGAGCACCGGTCACAGCCCGAAATTATCCTTCCTTTCCTGTCTCCCGGTTGGGAGTGGGAGGGAATGCATCCTCGGCAGCCTCTGCGATCGCGACTGAACGCGTCCATGACCTCTGCAGGCTTCATCTTTGCGGAGGGGCTACTAGATGAGTGCAGCAAGGGAAGCGCAGCCAGGCTCTTCTTCATGACGCCAGGGCATCCCAGCTCAGGACTTCTGAAGTCTGGGCAGGGAATTAAGGAGCAGGAGATGGAGGGGAGGTGCAGAGATCCACGCGGTGTCATCTTCACAAATGGGAGCTTTTGAGTATGTGCACGGGACCCATCGGCGGACTTCTGTTTGTTTTTAAATTTTCGTTCTTTGAAGACAGAGACCTGATTTGAGGGAAAAAAGGGATGGAAATGAGGAGACCCAAATGGCATTCTTGGAGCATATGGGGAGAAAGCGACGTGTTCTCTCCTCCACACCCAACGCCCAGGCTCGGGAAGCGTTGCCGTTGATTCCAAAATACTAAATGCAATTCACAATTTTAACTGAAATTAAAAAAAAAAACAACAACCCTCAAACACCCTAAAATGTACAGGAAAAGACGGTCACGCCGCAACATCTTGCGGACCGTACCAGCCACACCAACATGGCCGCGGCGCAGGCTTCTGGGGCGCGCGCAGCCGGCCGGGGCGGGACGCTGAGGCCGCCGGGAGGGACTGCGCAAGCGCGGCGCGGGCTTGTGGGCGGGGCCGTGCGTCGGCTGTTCGCGCGGGAGCCGGGCGCGAAGGCTCCTGGGCTGCGGGTCACTAGGAACGGAAGCCGCTGCAGGACGCCGAGGCAGCCAGGATGGCGACTCCGAGCAGGAAGGCGTCGACCTCAAGCTCCCTGGCTTCCAAGAGGGTCCTGCCGACGGACCCTTCCTCGGAGGTTCCGAGCAAGAGAAAGAATCCGACCCCGCCGTCGTCTCAGCTGCCGTCCTCCGGGCCTTTCGTGGAAGGCTCTATCGTCCGCATCGCGATGGAGAACTTCCTGTGAGTGGTCCGGGGGCCGCGGCAGGCGGCCAAACCCGCCGTAATCGGGCGTGGGCGTGCGGCCGGCGGGCACTCTAGCGGTGAATTAGTGCCGGGCTTCCCGCGAGCGTTTCTCCGCGTAGGCCGTGGAGACTGACGTGTGTTGCTGTGGATGTGTCTTGTGCTGATTTTTATTATTAGTATTATTCCTTCCGTAAACGGTTTTGAAGGCGTCATCTGCCCGTCAGTGGATGTAGGACTAGGTCTTTGCCCTTGTTCTGCAACTCACAAAAGTGTGGGCCCTGGGGATTCAGGAGGCTACAGTCAAATCGGAGAGGCAGGTTCTGGAAGTGTGGACGTTTGCCGGTGGACAGAGACTACAGAGGATGGGAATGGTTACTCTGCATCGGGGTTAGGGTGTGCTATAAAAATTAAACCTGACTCTCACTTGCCTGAGCTACCGACAGAGCCTCCAAATCCAGTTTTCTTCCCTGGCTCCTCTTCTCTCCCTTCAGACAACTTTGTAGAATCCAAATGTGTTGCAAAAGAAAATGTCATGTATCTGTGTATAGCCTTACACTTCATTTTTCAGTCTTTAAAAAAAAATAATAAGTTTGCACATAATGGCATAAAAGCTGCAGAATTGTAGAAACAATAACACTGTTTTTTTTTTCCCCCTTCAAACATCGGATGGATCATGTGCCAGGTACAGAACTAGGTGTTTTCCCACCCTGGTGGTACTGGGATTTGAACTCGGCATCACACTTGCTTGGTAGGCGCGCTACCAGTAGAGCATTCTGCTAGCCCCAGAACTTGGTATTTTGTTTACCCATTAGCTGTTTCTTTATTCAAAACTCTGTCATATCTTTATTGATGACATAAGCTCACAGAGATTAATTTTGCCTAGGTTTACATAGCTAATAAACAGCTGAATTACAATTCAAATCCAGATCAGGAAATAGCAATGTAGTCAAAGGAGGTAGAGACCATAACATATGTTGATAGGGTTCCATGGAGAACACAAAGGAAGAAGTGCATAATTTTATCCATAACTAGGAGAAAGAGCTTCATAAAGAAGATGTGAAAGTCCTAAAGGGAGGGAACAGCATTGTAGACAGAGATATTGCCTGAAAGTTTGGAATATTTAGGAATTGTCCTGTATTTCAGTATGACTTGAACTTAGGATGTGAGTGAATATGTGGACAGAGGGCAGAGCAACCCACTGTCTCTGTTCATTATGCTAAGACATTCCAGCTTCATCTTGTAGGCAGTCAGGCTGTGTTTTAAGGGAATGAGATGATTTTTGCTAACCTGAAAGCAGTGTAGAGGATGACTTAGAAAAGGTGGCAGATTGGAGGCAAGAAGACTTAAAATGTGAAGGCAAGAAGTAGAGTTTGTACATAGTAGGAGCCAAAAGGAGAGATTTGACAGGATCTGGCTACAGATTAATTGTGAGGTATGATGGGGTGAGGAGTGCTGCATTTTCCCCTAGTCTCTGCCTTAGCTAACTGGTCAGATGCTTAGAGGGAGCAGTTTGAGGAAAATAAATGATAAATGCCTTTAGATCCTGTGATTTGAAGTTTCCTGTGGAATATCTAAGAGAGAGGTTCTGTTGATAGAATTTATAAATGCCTAGAACTCCAAGAAAAATGAGAACAAGTCAGACATTTGGGAACCATGCATATAGGTGATTATTGAAGTTGCAGAAATTATTGAGATTGCCTAAAAGGAATATAAGGCCTACATGTGAGGGCAAGAGAAGAAAAAGAACTCACAGACTGAGAAAGAACCAAGAGAAATTGTTATCAGAGAAGCTAAAGAAAAAAAGTGTTTGAGAATATCTGCTACATTGACATCAGATAACAGGACTGAAAGGAGCCTACTGCTTATAGCAGTTGGGAAATCTTTGACCCCCTTGATGAAGCAATGGAAAAGAAAACTTTGTAAAGCAAGGAATGAATGAAGAGTGAAGAAGTAAAGCTTACATGTAAATAGAAAGAAGAGGTGCCTAGAAAGTACAGTGCTAAGTGAGATTTTGTTTATTTTAATGATGAGAGGACTTTGGGTTTTAGGAGTGAGGTAGTGAGGGATAGATTTAGAGAATTAGCGAAGAAGCACAAGAGGTAGTCTTAGACCTCAAATGGTCTGGAAATGATAGAGAAGGGTTTTTATGTCTGAACCAAGTTGAATGGAGTTGGGAGTGGAGGGAGAGATTTCTGGGCTAAAGGAAACATAAACTCGTCAAGAAACTGAAAAAAGGCTGGGCACCAGTGGCTCATGCCTATAATCTTAGCAATTCAGGAGGCAGAGATCTGGAGGATCACGGTTTGAAGACAGCCTGGGCAAATAGTTCGCCAGACCCTATCTTGAAACAGCCATCACAGGAAAAGGGCCGGTAGAGTGGCTCAAGGTGTAGGCCCTGAGTTCAAGCCCCAGTACCACAAAAGTTTTTTTAAAAAGAAACTGAAAAAAAAAAAATAAGGTAAAATTTAGAGGTCTGTGCAGAAAAAGGAGCTAGAGCAAGGAAAATTAAGTTATGACTAAATTACAAAAAGTCCTTTCTTCCTGAGTTTTTCTTTTTACTAACAAGTTATAGATTTGCATGTGATTGGGTTGGGGGGAGAGGGCAGATGCAGGTAGAGGCACAAGGGATGGAAGAATCAAAGGTGATGTAGAACTAATGCCTAGATTTCTCATTTAAACAATGGGATAGATGATAGTATTCATTGAGTGACTACAAGAGTGGTTTTGTTGGAAAATACAGTGGATTTAGTTTTGAATGTGTAAAGTTTTAAGTTTTAGGAGGAGGTAATTGCATATATAAGTTATCAGAAAGATGTAACCATGTATTTCAAGAATACATGAAATACCTCACTAAATTTATAGAGTGAGATAAGAGTGAACTTTGACAATAGTTCTTTCAGGGGGAACTAAAAAAAAAAGATGCTCACAAAAAGGGAATCTCCAATAAATAGAAGAATGAATTTGTAAAATCCAGAGCTTTGTTTTGTTTTTTGGCAAAACCCCTACTTATAATATGTATGTATTTTATATGCCAGAAATTTTCATGCTTTTCCATGTTGTTTTTATTAATACCAGTTGTGTCACTTCTAGTTTAATATTTGCAAAGAGATCTCACAGAAGGAAAGGCTAGTGTTAAAAGAATGAGACCTGATAATGTTGCGCTTAAGAAGTTCCATGTCAGGTAATTTCTTAGATATCTGAAGTTCCCAAGCTAGTTGTATTTTAACTAAAGTTTCGTTTAAGACCCAGTTGCTAACAGAACAAAGCATCTGAAAGGCAAAGTAGATAGATGCTTTGTAGAGATGTAGAGCTAGAAAACCTGCTGGAAAATACTTTTTTTTTGCCACTTATATTTATTTTTACTGCTACCCAGATTTTTTAAATCATTTATGTTTTTAAGTATCAAAGTTGAAATATGTATGGTTAAATTATTTATATTCTTGGCAGGTTAATTGCAGGGTAATCGTTTATTCTTGGGGAATTAGTTGGCAGTTATACCTGAGAACTAACTTAAATGTGGGCAAAAAATACTACACCTGGGTCTCATTTCAGGATATTCAAAGACAAGTTAGAAGAAAGTATGAGTCCTTTCTTACATTTTTCCAAAGGTATTCCAGGCAAGTAACAAGGATTGGATGCTAACTGTGTGGGTAGAACATGGGACAGCATGTAGTGGTATGGTTTGAGGAAATATTACAAAGGTACTTGGCATTGATGCATTCTTGCTTTGTCTCAGAGGAATAAAGATTATTTCAATGTAGACTAACAGTAGATCCCTTGGTGAATCTTCTTGCAAGATGTTAAAGGAAATGATTTTTTTTTTTTAATGATAAAATGAAACCATTGGGTTAATATATAGTTTCAGTTTTCTAATTTGAATAAGAATTATTTGGTAGGACTGTTTCAAATATTAAAATATTAGAGTTTCAAGATAAATATAAACATAAAATCCACAGATATAAGAAAAGCCATGACTTTTCATATAAAATTTGTTTTAAAAATTCTTTATTTGTAGAGTAGCTTTGATAGAATCTCCCATGAAATTTAATTATTTTCTTTTGGTTGGGACAGTACTGGGGTTTTAACTGAGGGCTTTGTGCTTGCTGGGCAGGCGTAATTCTACCACTTGAATTATACCTCCAGCAGACTTACTTTTGAAAAGGCATATGAAGTCTTAATTTCCCACTGATGTTCTTAGTTTAGATATGCATTATCACTTTTTCATTTCTTCCATTGAGATATTTTCCTTTTGTAGGCTGTTTAATGAAAAGCTACAGAGGTAGGGATATAGTTCAGTGGTAAAGTGCTTGCCTAGCATGTAAGGCCCTGGGTTTGATCCTTAGCACCTCTTCCCCCAAATCTATAAGTAACATTAAATTTGTAAGGTTAGCTTGTTTTAAATGAATTTGTGGAATGTTGTAGATAATGATAATGCAAAGGAACAAAAAGTGTTTTTGTAAAGAAAATATTTTTTCTCTTGCCTAATAATGTCACCCCTTTATAATTCAGAACATATGACATCTGTGAAGTGTCTCCAGGACCCCACTTGAACATGATTATAGGAGCTAATGGAACAGGGAAGTCGAGCATTGTGTGTGCCATTTGCCTTGGATTAGCAGGCAAACCTGCTTTTATGGGGCGGGCAGATAAGGTGAGTTAACAATTACTTTTTAAGAAAATTCAAAGCCATTAAGTGCTTTTAGAAACAAATCAACTTCTGTATTTTAATTCTTTGGGTATAGTAAATTTGTAGTGTTTGAATATAGGGAATAAGGAATTTGGCAGGTAGAGAAGCTAGAAGGAAATTTTTGTTGCTAGAAGTATTTTGGGCCATATGCCTAGAGAGTTTTATCCAAGTACCTAATGCCCGAAATGGTAGATATAAAGCAATATGTTATTTTAAATTAAAAATTTTTTTTTTTAAATTTTTTGGTGGGATTGGGGTTTGAACTCAGGGCTTTGCCCTTGAAAAGTAGGTGCTCTACTATTACACCTCCAATCCATTTTGCTCTGATTATTTGGAGATGAGGGTCTCATAAAGTATTTTCCTGGGCTAGTCTTGAACCATAATGCTCTCAAGTAGCTAGGATTACAGATGTGAACTGCTGGCATCCAGAAATGTGTCATTTTTTTAAGTGCGTTACTGGGCTTATGGAAAGGTGAAGTGAATTTACTAAGGGTAAAAACAAAATAGTGTGAATCTGAAGACATAGCGAGCTTTACAGTAGTTTCTGCTTGGGCATTTTCTGATAGCTTGTGCCTTAAAGCCCAACTTTGAGTTGTTTGAACAGGTTTAGGGATTCAGGTGGGAAAGGGCTAGGAGATAATCTTGGAAAGTCAAACACTGTGTATAGAAGAAGAACAATACCACCGAATAGGACAGTGGATTTACTTACTCATTGTTTGATTGTGTGGAGGGTATCTAGCAAAGAATTCATAATCAGAGTCTTGGATGTGTTTGGGGAGAGAATCCCATATGACCTAAATAGTATAAATTATGTTAGGCAAATCCCAGCACTTTGGAGATTGAGGCAAAATGATCTAGAGTTTGAGGCCTACCTGGGCTACTGTCTCAAAAAAATTAAAACCATAAATTAAAATCTTAGTTGAAAGTTGTCTGAGTAATATCTCTAATCCAGTCATTAAAAGAATTTTAATAGAAGTTTGAAGAAATTCATAAATCAAAAAACACCATACAACTTGGGGAAAAAATGAATGGCTTAAAATAAGAGTTAACCAAACCAACCCAATCAGACTTACAAAGCTTGTACATACAGTACGTAACCTAAGTAATTTAATTCATTTAAGAAAATAAAAGAAGGTTGCAGATATGACAGTGGAATAAGTGACAAAAAAATCAGTACACTTGAAGAAGAATTGAGCTGGTTGTGGTGGCAGATACCTATAATCCTAGTACTGCGGAGGCTGAGATTGGAGGATCACATTTTTGAGGAAAGCCTAGGCTGTGAAGTGAGACCCTGTCTCATAAAAACAAAACTAAAAAAGAAAAAGAATGGAGTAAAATTATAGAAATGAAAAATAAAGTTCTGAGCAGAGAAATTTAACAGGCCGATAAAAAACCAAAGTACACACATTTGAGAAGAAAATTTATACAAACATTTGAAAAAAGTTTCCCAAAATGCAGTATAGAGATAGAAAAATATAAAATCAACGTCAAGAGTGGGTAAAGGAATATAATCCAGTATTCATCTAATTGTAGTTCCTAAGGGAGATAGTAATGAAGAGGCAGTATTCAAAGAAAGAATGACTTTAAGAAATTTCCAGAAATACTGAAAAACTTGAGTTCTCAGATTCAAGAAGCCCAATGTATCCAGGCAGGATAAATAAAACAAATCCATAGACAGACTCATGACAGTGAATTTCAGAATACAAAATACAGTGGTGATATCTTCCCAGAATGGGAGCAGAGAAAGAAAATGAATAAAGCTTGAGATCCTCACTAAAGAAACTTTGAAAGTACATGTTAAGCCTCCCTAATCCAAAAAGTTCCAAATCCTAAACTTTTTGAGTATCTTCGTGATGTCTCAGGTGAAATCCCATACTGTGAAACTTTAATGTACAAAGTTATTAAAAATATTGACACATTACTTTCAGACTATATAAGCTGTAGATGAAACAAGTAAATTTTATGTTTAGTCTTGGATCCCATTCCCCAATACAACTCATTTATATGCGTATATTAAAAAATTTGAAAAAAGTAAAAAAATCCAAAACACTTCTGGTATAAAATGCATAGTACAGGCGGGTATAGTGATTCATGTCTGTATCTCTGTACTCAGGAAGCAGAGGTAGGTAGATTACAAGTTTGAGGATAGCCTGGACTGCTTGAGCAAACCTGGGTTATATAAGGGAAAAAAAGCATTATGGCCAGTTTAAATTTATTCTAGGAATGAGAAATTGATTGGCCACTAGATTTTTTTTTTTGGCAGTACTGGAATTTGAACTCAGGGCCTTGCATTTGCTAGGCAGGTGCTCTACCATTTAAGCCACACAACTGTTTTTTACTTTACTATTTCAGTAGGGCCTTGAAATTTTGCTCATGTCAGCCTGCACTGTGATCCTCCTGTTTATGTCTCCTGTATAGCATATATAGCACACACAGGTCCAGCTTTATAGTCATTGAAATAAGGGTCTTACTCAGTGACCAGGCTGGCCTTGGTCTGTGATCCTGTGACCTCTGCCTTTTGAATTACTTGGGATTACAGATAGATGTGAGCCACTGCAACTGGCTTTGCATCATGTTTTAAAGGAATTTTCACAATAATATTATGGAAAAAAAATTTTTTTTTTTTTTTGATGGGACTGGGCTCAGAGCTTTATGCTTGCAAAGCAGGGGCTGCACCACTCAAGTCATACCTCCATCCCATTTTGCTCTGGTTATTTTGGAGAAGGGGTCTTGTGAACTGTTTGTCCCAGGTGGCCATGAACCATGATCTTTCTGATCTCAGTCCTGCAAGTAGCTAGGATTACAGGCATAAGCCCCTGGGACTGAGCAACTTATGAGAATTCTTAACAAGGAGTAGAAGGGAATTTTTTTAATTTCACAAAAGATATCTATGAAAATGTGTGGCAAATCTCAGGAACAAGTTAAAATGACCTCTCAGTACTGTTAACATTGATTGTACTGGAAGTTCTAGGTAGAACAATAAGGTGGACAAAGAATCGATAACAGTGGAAAGAAGTGTCTGCATAGAAACCAAAAAGAATCTCCAAACAAGCCTGATTAATTAATATGGGAGTTTGTCAGTATTGTTAGATAGGAGATTAGGTAAAAATCAGTTATATTTCTGTACACTAATGAGCAGAAAAATGAAACTAAAAATATGTACTATTTATAATAGCAATAGAAGTGCAAGTTGCATAAGAATAAATTAACAGAAGACATGTAAGAACTGCATACAGAAATTACAAAATTTATGTTAAACATTAAATATTTGATGGAGTGATACTCTGTATAAATGTTATTCTTAACAAAAATGTTATTCTTCACATTTACATACTCAATTTACTTTACTCAAAATCCCATTAATATCTATGGCAAATTAAAAGCTGGATTTAAAGTGTAGATCCACAAGCAAAGGGCAATAGATAGCTAAGATACTCCTAAAGAATTAGAAGAAATTAGGAAAAGTTATCCTACCAGATATCAACACTTAATATGAAATCTTGATGTCACATGCCTATAATCCAGCATTCATGAGGGCAGAGACAGGAGGATGACAAATTCCAGGCCAGCCTGGACTACATTTGGAGACCCTATCTCAGAATACAAACAAAAAAACCCAACCAAGCAATTGGAAACAGGAAAAAAAAAAAAAAAGACTGACTGTGTTGTAGTAATGAAGATATTGTAGTATTAGAGGATAGAAATGAACAGTGGACCAATGTGATGGACCAGAATAAGAACCCAGACAAAGCCATATTAGTATAAGCTCAGTTTATGACAGAGCTGACATTATAGGTCAGTGGAGAAAAACCATGAACAGTACTGAGATAATTGATTATCCATATAGGAAAAAATGGAATTAAGTTCTGTCCTCACAAATTACTTCTATGTTAATTGAAGATCTAAATGTGATCAAACAAAAAAGTTTTTAAAATACAACTGGATAGGGGAAAGTATCTGTGACTTGGGATAAAGAAACATTTAAAAGTATAGACTGGAAAGGAAAATACTGATGAACTCAAATATAACAAAATTAAGAAACCTTTATGAAAAGTTTTTATCAAAACTTTTATCTTTTGATAAAAGGTAAGCCACCAATAGAAAGTTTATATTACACATCTTAAAAAAGGTCAATATCTGAACTATAAAGTAGGTGAAATAATAACAACTCAGAAGAAAAAAGGGCAGAAGATATGCTTAGATGTTTCAGAGAAGAGGCAGCCCAAATTGGCCAGCAAATATACAAAAAGATGCTCAACTTCATTAGTTGCCAAAGAAATGCAAATTAACCTTAGCTCAGTAACCCAATCAGACTTCAAAGTTCTTCAGTGTGTTTACAAGGATATAGAGCAGTAAGAACTCTGGTATACTTTTGCTGGGAATATAAATTTGCAACCTTTTGGGAAATGATGTGGCATTATTTAGTAAGTCTGTACATGCACCTGGTCACTCAAAATTTCTACTCCTACCTACTCTTGTAAGTTGTTAAACATTTATACTAGATGAGATTATAAAACTTTTATAGCAGTATTGTTTCCATGAATTTTAGCATAGTCATATAAAGTTGAATATTATAGGACAGTCAAAATAAATAAATCATGGTTCACTGGTTAAATCTTAAAAACAATTTTAAGCAAAAATTCCATCTGGAAAGAGTACATGAGATATGACTTTAGTAAAAAAAAGTGTATTCAATGTTTAGGGATATACATATATATAATAAAAGTAAAGAAATGCAAAAGAATGACCAATAAGCTTAGAGCTTTAGGAGGGAATAGAAGGACTCATTTGGGGTGAACTATAAAAGGAATGTCAGATACATTGATAATGTTCAGTTTCTTAGATTGGTGATAGTGGCTAGAGGCATGGCTCAAATGGTAGAGTGCTTGCCTAGTAAGCACAAGGCCCTGAGTTCAAACCCCAGGACTCCCACCCAACACACATACAAAATCTCCTGGTCAGTCTGTGACATCACTACTAAATTGGTGATGGTTATATGGTCATTTTATTCTTCTTCCGAGTACGAGGGTTTGAACTTTGAGCTTTCCCTCAGCAAGTAGATGCTGTACCACTTGAGCCAGGCCTCCAGTCCCGGGATGATTGTAAGCACACAGTGTAGTAGTTCCTAGACACAAATTGCAGCCTTTTGTGTATCCATAAATTTAGTATTTAGGGAATGCTCAAGTTCTCAGCAAGAATATTTTAATATTATATGTACTTTTGTTTAAATGTTAATGTAAGAACTTAACGCAAGCATATTCTACACCATCTATTTGGGTTCTTTATAATAAAAACTACCTAGTTTTTCCTTCTCATTGGTGCCAGGTATTTTAATTGTAGCAAACAAATGTAACAGTTAGCTCCTGCAAAGATGCCATTGTTTTCCTATCTTTGAAAAAACAAAATCTGGTCAAGGTCAAATAGCTTGTCTGTGAAGGAGTTGAGATTTGAGCCTAGATAATACATGTTAAGGCCAGTATTCTTAAATAGTAAGCTGTACCCTCAGTTTACTGGAACATGTTTTTTTTTTTTTTTAGTTTGTCTGGTCCTAAATTTTACCGTCTATAAAATAATTGAGCATTAGTTAATGAGAAATATGTAAACTGCTTAGCACAGCAGCATTTAGTAAATGTTAGCTTTTGTGGTTACAGTTGTCATTATTGTCAGTACTGCTATTAAAAAGATTATTTATAAGGTGTATTTTCTATGATTTTTAGTATTTATTGCTTAGTTGTAGCCCAATTTAAGATCCAGTCTGTTTAGAAAGTGATGGGAATGGACAGTTATGTATTTACTGAAAACAGACTTGATATGTCACAATGATGACTTCAGTTAATCTCTGATAACCTGGAAATGTCATCACACAGCTCACTTTTTCTTTTCTGTGCCTTAGGTTGGTTTTTTTGTGAAGAGAGGATGTTCCAGAGGCATGGTTGAAATTGAATTGTAAGTGCTGAAACCACATTTTTCTGTATAGTTTTTAGTTTATATTTATGCTTTCCTGATGATCTTGGAAAAGATATTAATATAGTATTATGACATAAATATTGGAAATAATACTTGAGTATTTTATCTAAACAAGTAAGTTTTTATGCATCTTTTAAAACTTAAATTTTTTTTGGAAAAATTCCTAAGGTGACTGTAAGTTTATGGGAGGAAATGAAATAGAAATATACCCCTGCTAAATCTTCATTAAGCAGGGGCAGTATTTTTCTCAAATTTAATTGTTGCTTTTTACTGGTTTTGAAAGTAATACTTGGGCTGGAGTGCATCTCAATGACAGAGTGCTTGCCTACCAGCATGAGGCCTCTGGACTCCATCCCCAGCACTGCAGAAACAAACAAATAAAAAGCCTTCTTGCCATAATTCTACTTCTAGAAATAACCCCTGTTGATCGTTTGGTGAGTCTCATGTATGACAAATACGTATACTTCTGTTACCGTCTTTATGGTATCTTTTCCCATTGAGCTTAGATGTTCTGAATTGACCATTCTTCTTTTGGTGTTTTGAGGCAGGGTCTCACTCTGTAGGCGAGGCTGGCCTGGAACTGGCTATGTAGCTCAGGCCGGCCTGGAACTTGTGATCCTCCTCCTCAGCCTCCTGAATGCAGGGATTATAGGCATTACCACCATGCCTACTTCTGTTGACCATTCTTGGCAGCTATTTCTGATGGTTAAGAATAGATACTTATCATGGAACCAATTGACCATCCTTAGTGTATATACTTTTAGTCTTTTTGCACATTGTTTAGATTTTTAAGAGTTGCTTTTGTAGTACTTATGTAGAGTTGTAGAACTTTTAAGTTAAAAATTTTCTTAAAAAATCATCTCATAGCCTTATAATTTTATAGGATATGGAGAAATTCTGTGGACTCTAAACCTTGGGAACTTTTTTATTAAAGATAAAAGATAGACAAGGAAAAAAATACATAAATACTTTGCCTAGCTTAGTAAAATATAATGGTAGAATTTGAGGACACAAAACCAAGACACAAATAGAGAAACATGTTATTTTCCTAGAAACATAAAATTAAAATCATTAGTATGTCAGTCCTTCCCAAATTATTGAAATTGTATGGTACAGTTCCAGTGAGAGTTTCAGCAGGTAAGTTTCTAATTTGATTGTAAAGCTCCTTTTCAGAAAACAATGTATTGTGGATAAGACTTTTATGTTACCAGATATTAAAGTATTACAATGCTGTAGATGTAAAATAGTATGCTCTTGGTACAGAAGATTAGAGGAGCAGAGTGGAAAAACTAGAAACAGATCTAAGTGTATATGAGAATTTAATGTAGTGTAAAGGTGACTATTCAAGTGTGGGGTATTATAAGAGATAGGAAAAAACCAAACTTTTTAAACAGTAGAAAGCACATCCTCTTGTGTTTTCTTTTGGGGGGGAGGGGGGTTGGGATTTTTTGTTGTTTTTGTTTTTCTTTTTTGGGCAGTACTGGGGTTTGAACTCAGGGCCTCGCAGTTGCTAGGCAAGCACTTTACCACTTGAGCCACACCTCTAGCCCTTCTTGCTTTCAGGATATTTTTAGATAGGGTCTCATGTGTTTTCTGAGACCAGCATCCACCGTCAGGCCATGATCCTCTTACCTATGCTTCCTGTGTAGCTGAGATTACCACCATGCTTGGCTTGTTTCTTGAGATGGGGTCTTGCTAACATTTTCCGTGGGCTGCCTTCAAATTGAGATCCTCCTGACCTCTGCTTTCTGAGTAACTGGGATGACAGGTGTGTTCCACTGAACCCTGTATATCAGTTCAATTCAACTTTTTTTAAACTTTCAAATATTGCTTATTTTTTTAATTCCCATACATGCATATAATGTACTTTGATCAAATTCACCCCTTCTATTAATCTTTCTTACCCCACACCTCCCCCTCTTTTTAAACAGGTTTTTAAACAGTTTTTAATGGATTTCATTCTGTTTTCATACATGAGTATAAAGTACTTTGATTGCATTTACCCTTTCTTCACCTTCCTGCTGGTTCCCACCCCCAAGTAGACCCTCTGTTTTATACTGTATAATTTTTTTTAAAGGTATAGGTTCTGTCTGTGTGATTTGTCTATGATCTTTGTCTTTTTTAATCTGACTTATTTTGCATAACATGGTGATTTCCAGTTCCATTCATTTTTCTGCAAACAACATAATTTCATTCTTTTTTATGGCTGAATCAAATTAAAATTCTAACACTAACTAGAGTTAGTGCAGAGCCTGTAGGTTAAGGGCTCAATCCCACCAGACTGTCCGCCATATCACAGGCCATTTTTGAGTTTTGAGTTGTGTCCCGTATTTCTGACCAACCAGCTGTAAATTGGGATTCCCAGGTCCCATTCCTTAGGTTTGATTATTTGGTAGGACAGCTCATAGAACTAAGAGAAATGGTTTATTAATTTATTATAAAGAGTGCTACAGAAGATACAGATAAACAGCAAAATGAAGAAATGTATAGGTCATTGTCAGAAAGAGCCTGAGCCCAGGAGCTTCTTCCTCATGGAGTTGGGGGTACACCATCATCCCAGCACACAGATGAGCTTATGAAACAGGAGCTTTCTGAATCTTTGTAGCTCAGGGGTTTTCATGGAGGCTCTATCACTTAGGCATCATTGATTATTAATTCACTTTCTATAATCCCTTCTTCCTTTCTTGGAGAGTATAGGGGTGGTACTAAAAGATCAAGCGTGTGTACTACATCCAGCTGTATTTCTTAATATATCACAATATCACAGGTATAAATTACTCAAATTACTCTGAATAGAGAGCTTAATCTGACATCTTATGCATAAATAAAATCTAGGTGTACTAAGTGCCAGATGAAAAATTATCTACTTTTATAAATAATAGAGGGGTTGGGGATGAGGCTCAAATGGTATAGAGTACTTGCCTAGAAATAATTGAGAAAATATTGAATGTTTTTCAAATGTTGGGAATGGAGAAGGTCTTTCTAACCAAGAGTAGTGTGAATAGCCATTAAAAAGTAAGATAGGAAGCCAGTTGTGGTGGCTCATTCCTGTAATCTTAGCACTTGGAGGCTGAAGCAGGAGGGTGAGATATTTAAGGCCATCCTGGGGTACATAGTGTGTTCAAGAACAGCCTGAGCTACACAGCATGACCCTGTCTGAAACCCCCCTCCCCCCAAAAAAAAGATAGGAAATTTAGGCTGTCTAAAAGTCCAATTAAAAATAATGTGACACCCTAGTTAAAGATAGATGTGAGAAAACATTTTTAGCATTCAAAATATGTGCAGGCTTAAAATTAGTAAAATACTAATATCTCAGTAAAAATTATAAACAACCTAATAGAAAAAATGAGCAAAGAAATTTAGTACAAAACTAAAAGTGAACGATAAATACAAAATCAAGGAAATAACTTATTATCAAGAAAATAAACACAAGCCAGAGGCTGGTGGCTCATGCCAATAATCATAGCTACTTGGGAGTCTGAGATGGGGAGGATTGTGGTTCCAGGTTAGCTTGGGCAAAAAAAAAGTTTGTGAGACCTCATCCCAGTGAGAAAAAGCTGGTCATGGTGGTGTTGCCTGTCATCCCAGCTACGTGGGAAGTGTAGAAAGGAGGACTGTGGTCCAGGCTGGCCTGGGCAATCTGACTATATCCAAAATAACCAGAGTGAAAAGGGCTGGAGACATGGCAAAGGGCACCTGCCCTACCCTGAGTTCAAACCCCAGTAATGCCAATAAAGAAATAAGTAAATACAATGAGGACTCCCAGACAGATTAGAATAATTTTAAAATAAATCTAGTAATACAAAAGTACAATAAGCCCTCCCTATTTGTGGTTTTATTACCTTCTGTTTTCCAGGCACTGCCAAAATATAAAAGAGATTTAAATTCCTGCATTTATGCAACTCATTTGGTGCATAGAAACTCTCAGTTCAGTCCTGTGTTTTCCTCAGTTATGTTTAAATTATGTGATCTGCTGAGTGTTTCTCTGTCCTTAATTTTGTGAAAATATGCTTCCAAAAGGGAAATAAAAACCAAAAAGCAAGGCACAATTATGGTAATCCTTCCAAGCCAGAAAGGACATGTAGTATACTTAATTTAAGTGATAAAGTGAAAATTGTAGATTTGTTGAAAGGTAGCATTCTTTAGCAGAAGTTTGGCAGGCAGCATTATGGGAGAAGACATTAGGCATCCTCAGTAGAGTACTGTACTCTGTAAAATATAAACATTTGTTCTTTTACTTCAGTGGTCTCCTTGAAACCTTGTACCCACAAATATCAAGAGTGTACAAGGAAGTAGATTCTATCCTGCCACTGTTGGTGGGATTGTAATCAGTGTATTCTTTTCAGCTGTATTTCTCTGTGTTTAGAATATACATACTTTTTTTCCAGTTATTTTACTTAACTATCTAGAGAACGTTTACTCGTTTAAAAAAAATAGCTTTCCCTAATACATATGTATAATTTTAAAAAAATATTACTGGGGTTTGAACTTAGGACCTTGTGCTTACTAGGCAAGCCCTCTACCACTTGAGTCATACCCACAGCCCTAGCTTTCCCTAATCTTTTTTTTTTTTTTCAACGCATATAATAGTTGTAGAGGGAGTATTCATTGTGACATTTACATATGTGTTTATAATATATCTTAATTAGATGCACTTCCTCCATCATTCTCCCTCATTCCTCCTTACTTTCCCTAATTTTAATATAGTGAAAAATTATAAATAATCCAAGTCAACTGATAGTGACTAAGCAAAATGTGGTATACCCAAATAGGAAGCTATGATTCGACCATAAAAAGGAATGAAGTACTCTTACATACTATTGTATTGATGAACCTTGAAAATACTGTGCTTAATGAAAGAAGCCAGACACAAAAGGGTACATTGTATGATTCTTAATAAATGAAATTTCCAGAGTAGACATACATCTATAGGCCTGGGAGTATGGCTCAAGTGGTAGAGGTCCTATCTAGCAGGTGTG